ACTCCCCAGCGTGTGAATCGTGACATCTCGGTGCTTGATAGCAGAATTGGGAATTTTCAGATTGAGCTTCAGCCATTGAAAGTTTTGTCTGTTGCTGTTCAGATTGCGGTTTCAAGAAGGGTCGGACAGGCGTTAATCGGCGAACCTCCCAGAAAGCGGGAAAATCTCCGAAGGAAATTCAAGAGGCGACAGTTGAGGAGCTAGGAACGCGTCGACAAGTTACTTGTGCAGTGTGCTTACATTTCCTAAGTCTTTGGGGTATTTTTACCCTCAGTAGTGGAATAGACTTTTTGATTCTTATCGGACTCGGATTTTCGGTAACCTTGGGAGTAATTGTGGAAGTTTTCTTGGACTAGCTTTGGTATTAGTAGAATCGGATCAGTCTCGATCCAATATGGGCTTTGTGGCGAGTGAATGTGGAGTTAGGGATTCCCAATTATGTACCTGTTAGTGATTCTTCATGACTAACAACGGGTATACAAGGTTGCAATAAGGTTGGTTCAGCTTACGTGATTGATCAGGTTTGGGATGAAGTTTGCTATTGGATTCAGAGTTCGGCTATCATGCTATTCTAGGGTCATGTGCGATCGTGAGTTGCAGGAGTTTGCTTAGATAGAAACTTATTATATAAGTGAATCGTGCATGGTGGGATTTCAGTATCGTGGCACTGGTTGGTGAGTGTTGTAAAGGACGTTGGTTAGGCCTTTTCTTTTGGATAAGGTTGATAGTTTATTAGGAGCATTCCAGTCATGAGCTGAGGGCCAGGTAGGGCATACCAGACTCATGCTGTGAGTTCAGAGGCAATCCAGACCTATGCTGAGGGCCTTGTAGGGGTATTCTAGTCATGGGCTGTGGGCCTAGTGATCTTAGTAGTCTATTTCTTCTGTTGAAGCGCTTTCGGAATGGACACATTGTTGAGGTTCGGGCGAGCAGTAATCGGCTGCGAGGAATCAGAAGAGTTTGTTCGCAATACACAAGTAGGTCCTTGAACCTCAAGTTGTGAGTGTAGACCAGAGTTCGTATATAGTGGTGTTATGATCTAGGGTATTCCATCCTGAGGATGACTGGACCCGTCGGGGACATGCCCGGTATTCCAGCCCGAGGCTGATTGGGCCAGGTATGAGTGTTTGAGCTTATGAGGCGGTCATTAGGTGTATGCGATTCATGAACCAAAGGAAACATTATTATGTTGACCCAAGAGGGTTCATCACCCAGTTTACATCTCGTTGTTCATTATATCACTAGGAATTGGGTATCAGAATGAATATTTCTTGAAGGAGTACCTAATCTCTTGTCGAGGAGAGAGTTATAGGTAGCCGTGTGGGAATTGCGATTCTATTTTGGATGGGAACCCATGTTATTAGCAGTTGAGTAGCTAGTTGGGAGATAAGTGCTATGAACTCGGCAATGATTCAGAGTGGGCGGTCAGTCAAGGAGACAGACCATCTCGAGACTCCAGATTTCGAATTGAGTAAATATGATCATGTAGTAAGGGATTCATTTGTTTTCCTGGTTTTAGAACCCTGCGAGGATTGGATATGGTTTCCTTGGAGAGGCTAGAGTTCTGCTCATGGTTGTAGCCAAGTAGTTCAAGTGTTTGGCGTGTAAGGAATGATAAGAAACGATTTCGAGGACGAAATCAAATTTAAGTGGGGGAGAGTTGTAACATCCCGTTTAAATAGAGTAATTAAATAATAAATCAGGAGCCCCGGGAAGTAATTATTATGATTATTTTATACTATTATAGCCCAAGATCGGATAATAATTAGTGGGTGTTGGTTTTAGGAAGTCAAATGGCAAGAATTGAACCTCTAGGGGATAAAGTGTAATTTTGGGACTTAATTTGTAAAGATTTTCATAAGTCAAGGAGTGTTTGGTATTATTTGGGGCTTAATATAAAAGAAATTATGGAAACAGGGGTTAAAAAGTAAATATCAGATTTATTTTGTAAGGATTTTAGGAGACAGGGTGGGAATGGTAACATTTGGATTAAATTTGAAAGGAAATGGAGAAGGAGGGACCGGTTTTGTAATTATGGGCCAAAGTTGTATGGAACCGGGTATATATCTTCCTTACCCGTAAAACCCTAACCCTAGGGGATCCCACTTCAGCCGCAATAACCACCTTATACCTCCCTTCACACCAGCCGCCATCCCTTCTTCCTCCGATCTCCGACACCGCTACCCCTTCTGTCGAGTCGCAACCACTGCTATTGGAGTCGTAGAGCACCACCATCACATCCCATGTCGGCTGTGACGTCGAGAATGGCCGAAGAAAACGCCCAAGAGCTATGGCGCCACCGCTACCTCACCCTCTTAGTCGGAAAACAACCATGATGCCGCTGCTGTAGCTCCTGCCGTCGGAGAAGCCGAGAACCCCGAACATCGACGTGTGGTTAGTAAATGGTTAGATCCTCCACTATTACATCGCCGCCTTATCTTCTTCTAACTCCAGCCGCCGGACGTCGTTCGTAACCACGGAAAACCACAGGGGCCGCCGATATGGTCGTGGGAGGACCGACCAAATTTCTGTTGATGGGTTTCGTCCTTAAGGTCACCACCATACGACTGCCACCACCGTGAACCGCTAGGTGGGTGGTGGTGTAGCGGTTCCGGGGTCCTTGTGTGTGTTTACTGTTGCATCGTATGCTTTTCGAGTTGCTGCTGCCGGATATTGAAGAAAAGACCCACCATGTCCGCCAGCCATGGTGGCCACCGCTAGCTGCCATGTTCCGTCGCCACCAACCACCTTGGAAGGTGGTTGTGTGTGTGTTTTGTGTATTTTAGGTGCATGTGTGTGTTAATTAGTTTGTGTGTTATTTGGATCGTGTTGTAAATTGTAACCAATCAAGATAGTGAAGAAAATTCATCACCACCACCGGCCGCCGTGTCGGGTGGCGGTGTGCTTTGATTGCGTTTGGACCTCGTTTGGGGGATGTTTGGACAATGTGGAATCAAGGAAACCCTAATGGGCCCAAAGAAGCCCTAGTGGGACCAATGGAACCCTAATGGGTCAATAAGGCCCAATGTGACCTAAAAGCCCAACCAACGAACTAATGGGCTAGTATTGGGTTGGAAACCCTAATTAGGGTTTGGAAAACCCTAAGGGCATAAAACCCTAATAGTGGGAATCGTTTGGGACACACGAGAATTAATTATTAAACCTAAAATAATAATTAATAATCTTTGGCAAAATAACTTAAGGCAATAATTGACTTAATGGATTAAGTCCTTAATGGGTTAAGTGAGAAACACTTAACCCTAACCATCATTTCATGTGAAAGCCCTAATCTCACTCGAGCCTTGAATTGGGCCTTCCTATTGGGCTTTGGCGATTGGACTATTGATGGGCCATCCAAGAACAAGTTAATGGACCAAAGTAATTAGATGGGCTTTAGGATAAGGCCCATGTGAGGACTTGGGCCCAATTTGGAAAATTGGGCCATACGTTGGGATTCAACCCATTATTTTACTTTTGGGCTTTTGTAGTGTGAGTTGGACTTTGGGCTTGGAACCCAATTATTAATTGGGTATTGTTTGATGTTGACAGTTCGAGAATCTGTCAACCAGCAGCTGGAGTTTTATCTGCGGGACTACAACAGTGTCAGGTGAGTTATCCTCACTATACTAAGGGGTCTAAGGCACCAAGGCCGGCCCATTGGATATGTTATCCTAGTAGTATTAGATGTTGAGTATGAGTTAGTGTTGCATGCTAGTGGTTATTCCAGTTAGGTAGATCTGTGGGACTACCTGTGATGTTATGTGATTATTGCATGCTCAGTGGTTATGTTATGTGTTTTTTATATGGGATGGGTTGAGGTTGTACTGCTTCGTGCGGTAGCCAACAAACCCTAGGAGCATTCCAGTTACGGGATAAGGGAGACTCGTACTGTGGGCTCGGGAGCATTCCAGTTACGGGCTAAGGGAGACTCGTACTGTGGGCTCGTGGGTATTACAGTCTGTAGGGCTGTGGACCCCGTTATGTGCTGTTCTGTTCAGTTTGTTATGATATGTTTATTTGGACTGTATGTGTATCGGTATTTTGGGGGTAACTCACTAAGCTTTCGGGCTTACAGTTTCAGTTTATTGTTTCAGGTACATCAGGGGATCGGGTCAAGGCCAAGGCGTGATCGTACAGCTCCTCACTTTTTATGACTATGTTTCTCGGATGCTCTGATAATAAACTATTTTGAAAACATTTTTGTAATGACTAATGGGTTTTGAATTGTTTAAAAAGTTTTAAATTGGCTTGAAATTTTAGGGTGTTACATGACTCGCCTCCACATTCCCCACATCAAGAGGTACCTTTAAACAATTCTGTTCCAACTCTACTTTCTTCTCCTACTCACACTACTATTCCTATTACCATCGCTCCTTGCCCACCACCAATTTCATCTCAACCTCCACCAATTTCATCTCAACCACCACTTGTTATTTCTAAAACAACCACCTCTACTACCCAGCCGCCACCCATCTACACTGAAACACTACAACAACCACCACATACGAACCTCTCGTCAATGTCAACGTATCTGATGCGGGGGCAAAGAATTCAGATTTTATCACTACCTCAATCACACCTTTCGTTTCGGTCAACGTATCCGATACGGGGGCTCAAACTTCAGGTTTCTCCACTCATGTTTCACCTCCCATTTCCCCTCTTAACCGTAATGAACCAGACATTGTGATGACGAAGACGAAGATCTTGGGGGTTTTACTTACAGTCCCTTCCAAATCTGGACTGAGAGTACAGATGAGGTGCAAGTCACGAAAGGGCAACTCCAGTCCCTCCATGAAAAGATTGACCAACTGATTCTCTCTAACAAAGATTCCTCTACTGATGCATACACCAAAGCAGCTGTTGAGTCTCTCTTTGAGCGAATCATGAAGCAACACTCTGCTACTGTTGAAACATCGAATAAAGCTGTCGCCGATTTTGCTAAGGTTTGCAAGTCCACGACTGAAAAAGTCGGTAAACTAATCGCATAAACTAATTCTTTCATGGAGTACTTCCAAACCACTTTCAATTCCAACACCACATCAGTAAACGAAGCATTGAAGAGTCTAGGATCTCTCTTCAAGACTGAGAAGACGAAACTCCAAGAGATTCGTACTGGTATTAAAACTGACCATGAATCATTTCAAGCCACTATCTCGTCTCATCTTTCTCAGCTTAAAGACGAACTGGTGAAGGACTCTCTCGCTCTCAAGTCAGAAGAAGCCAAGGTGATAAGTACCAAACTTGATGCTTTGGAGAAGCAGGTCCATGATCTGTTATCTGAGAGGGCAGTCATGCGAAACTGTATAACTGATGTTACTAGCATGCTCTCGGATATCATTGAAACTAGGGATTCCATGATCACCATCACCATGTGTAAGCATCTGGCAGAAAAGTTAAGGCAGTCTTCGCCATGCTTCACCGCCTTGAAGGTGTTTCTGATCCATCCTTTAATCCGAAACAAGGGGGAGAAAGTGTGGCTGGTGGATCAAGAAAAGAAGGTCCTAAAGCTCCTGTCAAGCCTATTGTCAAGAACGAACCCAAAGGAACGGAAAAGCTGTTCCGTGATGACCCAATTCTTGATAATGAAGACGAAGAAGAGCCTACTGAAGAAGAACTAAAAAGGCGAAAAGTTTGTGAAGCAGAACTGGATGAGCACCAGCGAATCATCCGTGAAGCTGAATAAAAAAAAGGGCTGAGAAAGAAGCACATGCTACTCTTCAGAGCAAAAAGCTCTTGTTCCCTAAATGGACCTCGAAGCGAATCCAGCGCGATGTTGTTGATCTTCCAAGCCAATATTGATTAGAACCAGTAGTTTCGTTCGATCTTCATAACACACGAGACTCAAAACTAGATTTGCAAATTACTCCAAAAGCCTTCAGATTTCGTTCTTTTGTTAAAGTGGCAAACACTCCATTCACAGACAACGGAGCTGATCATATGTTGTTTTTGTTTTATCTAAAGCATATGAAGCTACAATACGAAACCTGGTCATTGATCAAAATTACCAGTGTGAAGGTTATAGGGCCGATCGAGACTGATAGCTTTCCGAACGCCAAGTTCAAAGTGGCACGAGGTTCAGCCAGCCAATGCTACGAGTTTACTCTCACAGATCTTCCATGCCTTAACCCATATGACTGGTTCATTCTTTACAACATATTTCTGAAGGACAAAGAAAAATATGAACCTTTCATGTGTCATCTCAAGCACATGATAAAGTCCTATGTTCAGGAGATTGGGGAAATGGACGTTGAGCTTGCTGCGATCCTGAAAAAGAAGCCTTTTGCTGTACTTAAAGAAACTCCTAAGGATTTTGAAAAGTTGAAGCCAGGGAAAATTTACAGTGGAGATTGGTTCGTGGTTTACTTAGCTAGGGAACGAACTGGAGCATACTTTCACAAAGGATGTTTCTATCTTTCTAATAAGCATCTCTATACCACAACCTTCCTTGACTACATTTTGGATCAAGTGAGAAAGTTCAAAGGCAACAACAAAGTTGATATCAAGTGCTTCTTAGATATGGTTCTATGGTACATCGAGATCCGCCAAGCAATTTATGCTATGATTCCGAAGGTATATGATGTGCAGAAGCGAATCCAAGGCTGAAGGGTTCGGGCCTCAATTGACGCAAAAGGGGAGATTGTTGGGTATTTAGTGTTGCGTCATTGGGCTTATTAGTTAGTCCATTTTTGTATTCGGTAGTGGGCCTGTCCAAGCCATATCATTGATTAAGGTTTAAGTATTAATAGTGCATGCATGCACCGTAGATCATTAACGTTTTTGATAGAGATATTCTTGTAAACCCTAGCACGCCTCTACAATTGAAATTCTTCATTGAGTTCATATGAGGCGTGACTTTTAATCATTCGACACTTTGTTGATTCATTCTGTGTTCTTACTTCAATTCGTGTTCATATTATACTTGTTCAGAATCTATTCGATCTATAAGGATTTTAGTCTTATCAATAGATATTGCTTCACCCCCATCATCATTATCTTTGTTGTTATCATTTGCCTCTTCCTCTTCACCATGTAATTGTCTAAAAAGCTCATCATCATTTGTTCTGTTCATATTGACTATATCCTCATTAAAGTCCACCTCCACATCTCTAAGGTTATCAGTTTCCTCTTCATTTTCCCCACTATCAATGCATGAATCATCACCATCTTCTTCTTCTATCTCAAAACCAAACCAATCCCATATTCCTTCACCAATGTGGTCCATATAAAGGGAAATTATACCATCGATTCTATAAGCATCAAAAAAGAAACCAACATAGTCTCCATCATTTGCAATAGCAGTTATCCCATACAATAAGGGCTTACCTGGCTCACATTAGTATAATATTTTCATACTTTCTTGCACGAACCGTTTGAGAAAAGTGATGAACTTAGAGTATGTCATTCCAGAAAAATTATGATCAATGAATGTGAATTTGATACCATGATTATATGAGAAATGATTTTTAAGAAAAACACCTTTGAAGTTCAGATCCACTAGAGGACATAGTTAATCAGGGTTTGGCATCGAGTTTGACATTGTCGAATGAATGGATGCTCCCTGAATTCGAACGGAGAAAACGAGTTTGAAACCAAGTTTTTTTCATTCTTGGTCACTAAGATAAGAAAGAACAAAGAAGAGTGTAGTTTTATTTTATTTAATATGATGTTTATGACTTGATTTAGTTACATAAATTTAATAATGTTTGTATCTAATTTATTGTAACGCCACATTAGGAATAAAATTATTTGTCCCCTTTACCTGGTGCATAATGGTTTAAATAGAAAGTAATTCCTACCTTTAAGGATTAATTTGAAAGTTCTAGTATGCTCAAGAGTTATATTAAATCGATATTACTATTAACATATGATACTAATGGGTCACACTAACAATAACTTGATACAATTGATCATTTATTAGAAACTGATTTTAATAAACATTCAATAAACTCTTATAATTAAATTGGAAATTATTTATTTCATGGAAATAATAATTTTCATTAGCAAGTAACATAATATATATATATATATATATATATATATATATATATATATATATATATATATATATATATATATATATATCATATGGTATGACTTATAAGTAATGCACATCATTTTGGACTAGATAAATCCTTTTGTCTTTTACCAAAAAGTTAAAGTTTATATTTAATAAACTAGTTTATAAAATTTATAAAATTTGTCTTTTTTTTTGTTATTATTGTCGAAAAATAGGAAAGACAAAAAAAGGAATGGCCTTTTGATTATCTTAATGAAAAGCATGGATAGTCTTACAAGCATGGGGGACATGTTTTTCTAAAGTGATAAAGTGCTAACTGGTTAAAGGCTTATGGACTTTGTTCTTACTTTAAAGACTAGCATCAAAGACTTTCATTTTGGTTCTTCTTGGTTGCGTGAAAATCGTAACATGCAATGGGAGTAGTAAGTTTCTCTTTTGTTCATCCTTTCATGAAGAATACTTGCTTCTTTAACTCTCTTGAGTTTCATACTTTGGTTATGAAATTCAAGCTTAAGAGTTTTAAGAATTTTACAAGACTAGAATCTTAAATCAAGTTGACTTCATGTTGGTGTCTCAAAGGTTCCATATTCTCCATCAATTTCCAAGCCTCCCCTTGAGGATTCAAAGACTAGAAAGGTTGTTATGTTCTTCTTCTTCTTTGGTGTTTTCTTTCTTTCCAAACTTTGTAAAAAGATCCATGGTTGGTTATAAACTTGTTTTATGTTGTTCAAAAAATCAAAGTCCCCTGTTGCTAAATTCTTGTTTTTTGAAACGAATTTTTGAATAAAAACCACACAATTGGTATCAAGAGTCACCTTGTAAGTTTGGTTAGATTATTTGATTTTTGGAAATCTTAGTTTTTGGAAAATATGGATAACTTGTTTTTGTAAGAAAATGAGTTCATACATATTTTCTATGACAACTTTATAATTATTATTTTTGTGACAAATTTTTTCATGTATATGTTGTCATTTAAACTTGTCTTAGAAAAACAAAGGTTGTTTTATATGTATGTTGATATGTATGATGTGCATAGACTAGCCAATGGCCATTTCTGTTGTTGTGTTTGTTGTTTTGTTAAAAATGGTTGTAATATTTATCTATTCATAGGGTATGTAATAAATTAAAAAGATTTAATTTTCTTGGTTTATTTTTTGTAAGTAATAGATTATTATTTATAAGTAATTTATTTATACAAAAATGTAACAAGAAATGAAGATGAAACCATTTTTTGAAGACAAATGGGTGAATTTTCGTAGTATATAGTGTGCAGGGAAATTAGTGACAGTTTCTGTATACTGTCAGTAAAGTTGTCGTTGATGGCTATTCCTTAAGGGTTGTTAGAGCTTTTGCGACAATTTCTGCAACACTTTCTGAAAGTGTTGCATGTAGCTGAATTATTACATTCAAGAAGCTTTTTCAACCTTTTGCAAGCAATGAGTGTTTTCTTAAGTGTGAGCTTCTACAATAACATTACTAAAAGATTTTTGCTCCCTTTAAATATCCCTTTAGGAATGGACTTGACATCTTTTCTGTTGGCTCACAAAAATATCATTAGTTGGTTATGTTTATGCATGTTTGTGTTGTTTATTTTATGCAATTATTGTGCCGTTGATAAATTAGTTTTTCACTTGCTAAAATAATTTTGGACAAAATAAACATTGCAAGGATTTTGGTTTTCAAAATTTATAATGTGGACATAGGTTGTAACAAGTTATTGTTTTAAAATAAAATCCGGTTTTATAAAAACGTTAATAACAACAAATTTTGAAATACTCAATTATAAGTTTTAAAATGGTAATCTTTGTGACTTATACAAACTAAAAATATATAAGTAATAAAAAGAAGTTTTATTAAAGATATAAAAGGTTCAAAAGAGCTCAAGAGAGTTTCGAGACATAGATGAGATCAAACATGTCTAATTAAATTTGTTATTAGAGATCCCATAAATCTAGAAATTATATAGCGGAATATAATTGATAATCGATATTTACTGGGTTAGTTTCAAATTAATCGGATAAAGGTCACCTAACAATTTATTTGTTTTGCAACTTGGATCCTAGACTTTGATAATTAATGTTTTTGGAAACTAAAAGGGTATTAATTATTAAAGGTTTAAATATTGAAAATACTATATGAATTTTGTTAATATTTTGTAGACAATTAATCCATTCTCATCACCATGAATTGTCATTTTCTTTAACGACTTAATAAAAGAATAACACTCAATAGATATAACTTCAATGAATGAGTTCATGTATTGAGATACAATCTCAGGAGAGGTTTGAAATTATATACACTTAAAGGTCCTAGTCGTAAAGACCTTGCTTTGAGCAATAGACCTGAACATGATACCTAGTAAAGGCATCAATGTGATGCTCAAGACACTTCTAACATCATACTACGAATAGTTACTCATGACTTCCAGGAAGTCTTTGATAATTTATATATATATATATATATATATATATATATATATATATATATATATATATATATATATATATATATATATATATATATATATATATATATAAAGTTATGCAATATTCCAGTAAATACAATTATTTTGGTAAAAAATCAATTTAGTGAATATCAACCAAATTAAATGCGAGGTTGTGGTGTTGTAGGTGAAGTGTTTATCGAAATAGAACAAGATTGCAGAA